TCCGGCGCCGCCCCCGGCGGGCCCCGCGTGCCGGGGGGGGGGGGGCTCTCGGAGGGTCCAGCGCCCGCCCGAGGCCTCCGCGCGGAGCTCCGACGGCTTCTGCCGAGGGGCAGCGGACCGGGGGGGGGGAAACGGGCATGCAGCCCTCGCTCGGACGCCCATTCCCCGTGCTTTTTTGGTTTCGTGCGTGGTTTTTTCGCAGGATGACCCAGGGTGCTCCTTACTATAGTCCCCGCCGAGAAGACGTGCACGCGTCCGAGCGATACCAAGGGCATAGGGGGGGGATGCATCGACCGGGAATCGACGAAACATCGCCGATGGATCGGCGATAGGCCTCCGATCGTGAATCCGCACCTTCCTGGGCAGGTTGGGGCTCTATCGGACCCCTATCGGCGATCCATGGGCGATTGGGGTCGATGCACCCCCCCCCCCTATGCCTAATCATCTCCCCCCAATCCTTGCCCCTGATCTGCGCATGCGGCGATCCCTTCCCCTGGTCTCGAGCTGGTAGTGGAAGTGCGACACGAGCCCCAGGCCGTCGTCGTGCTGGAAGGGGCCCAGCAGGGACTCCGCGAAGGGGTCCGCCGCCCGCTCCTCGGCGCTGAGGTCGCCCCACCGCTGCGGCGGCGAGGCCGCCCCGGCGAGGAGGCCCTGCACGTCCCCGGCCTGCCTGGGCCGCTCGCTCCGGCGGCGCACCTCGGACCCGACGCGTCGGAGCCAGAAGCGGCGGCACGCACTTACCGAAACCTTCGGAGCTCGGCGCGCACTTCTCGGGTCGGCGCTGGGCGCCCCCTCCCTGGCGCGCGGGCACGCGAGGGGGTGGCGCCGGATGCGCCGCCCGGGGAGGGCCCCCAGCGGCTCCGAAGGTTTGTGCGCACGCCGTCCCTTCTTCTCCGAGATGGAGCCCCCCCAGTCGTCCAGCTGCTTCGCGATCGCGTCCAGCTCCTGGCGCTGGCTGCCCGAGAGGCACCACTCGGGGACCGCCTGCCACCGCCGCATCGCGCACTGCGCCAGCGACAGCTGCTGCGACGCTCTCTCCACGGCCGCCGCGAGGCGGGCCGCGTCGTCCAGGTCGTCGTCGCCCTCCCCGCCGCCCAGCTGGACCGCCACGCTGTCCCAGGAGAGCGCGCTGGACCCGCGGGCAGTCTCGCCGGCGAGCTTCTCGTCCTCGGCCAGGGTGGGATCCCAGCCGACGGCGTCGCCGAACACGTCCAGGAAGAGCACCTGGCGGAAGCGCCGGGGCAGCTCGGCGTCGTCCACGCCGCTGGGCGCGGCCACACGCAGCCAGAGCTCCAGCCACAGGACCTGGCACAGGAAGCTCAGGGGCGACAGGAAGTAGTGCTGGCCCGGATCGAGCACGCCCTTGGTGTCCTTCGTGCCGTGCGCCACGCCCCAGGCGGAGAGGAAGCACGGCAGCACGCCCACCACCTGCACGGCGACGATCTCGTGCCGCTTCAGCCCTGCTAGGTCCAAAACGGCGATGGCCACCGTGGTGCACTGGAAGAGGACGACCAGGGCATAGCCCGTCGTCGGCGAGTGGTTCTCCACCAGCGTGTGGCAGATGCAGTAGTAGCTCAGGCCCTGCAGGATCTGGTTGACGCCCAGGCCCATGCAGACGCGGCAGTAGGCGTCGTAGCACTGCCACTTGCACTGCAGCTGCCGGAAGAGCTGCACGTGGCGCTCCGGCCCCACCCCGCGGTGGCTGCTGAGGAGGGCCTCCCCGCCCAGGAGGGGCAGGTCCACTTCCTCCGGCAGCAGCATCCTGTCCCCCGCGCCCAGCCCGCCCAGGCCGCTCGCCCCTGGCGAGCCCGTCGACCCGCCGGGCGCGCGCTGAACTGGCGCCCGGGCCGCCGCCGCGGGCGCCAGGGGCCCTGGGGCGCCCGCGGCCAGGCCCCCGCCGGAGGAGCCCGCGCTCCCGAGGCTCGCCTGGGGGGGCGCGCCGCCTCCGCTGGCGGTCTCGGCCGGCTGGGCGTGCGCGTCGTCGTGGGCGCTCGTCCACTCCTGGCCGTCCAGGAAGGGCACGCGCAGCAGCTTAGCCACGCCCTGCTCCTCGTAGTCCTGGAGCCGGCTCTGGAGAGCCGCGAGCTGCCGTGCGCTGGGGATCGGCAGCCGCACGAAGCGCGTGAGCAGCCTCACGCCGAAGCTGTGCGAGGCGATGGACGCGTGCATGCTCAGCCACACGGCCAGCAGCAGGTAGGTGAAGGCGCCCGCGTTCGACAGCAAGAACAGCGACAGCAGGAACGGGGGCGCGGAGGCCTGCACGCGGCCCTCGCAGAAGAGCACGATGCAGAACTCGAGGAACAGGGCGCCCACCAGGTGGTACACGTCCATGCGATCCACTGTGAGCTGGACCAAGTCCCGCACGTCCTCGCGGAACAGCTCGAAACGCCTCACCTGCATCCGCAGCCGGAACCTCTCCCGCTCGATCCTCTGGCCCTTGTCGAACTTGAAGTTCTCCCGGTTGTACGAGAACAGCTCCCTGGCCCCGAGGCCGCCGAGGCCGAGCGCCGCGAGGACCGCCATCGCCGCCCGGCTCGGCCAGCGCCCCCTCGACCGCTGGAGGGGCACGTCAGGGGGAGCGACTGGCTCAAGGAGGAGGAAGAGGAGGAGGAGGAGGAGGAGGAGGAGGAGGAGGAGGAGGAGGAGGAGGAGGATGAGGAGGAGGAGGAGGAGGAGGAGGAGGAGGGAGGGGGAGGAGGGGGATTTTCGACGAACAAAAATATCAAAAAATGATCCAAACTGGTCAAAAAATGCCCAACGACTAGTCCCCATACCATTTTTTGACTATCTTTGAATTATCCCCCTGTTGAGGGACAGGCCCGACTGAACCCCAGCCGACGGCGAGTGGGCGACTGGGGGCTGGGGCGCTCCCCACCAGATCGGCGGCGAGCGAGGGGGGGGGGAGAAGGAGAAGGCCCTTTTTCAGGCGGCGGGGCTTCTCAGAAGCCCTGGCGCCTTCCGCAGAGCAAAAGCTTTCTGCGTCCTCGGGGAAGGCTCCGAGCACTCCTCAGAGGGCCGCGGGACTGCTGAGCCTTCTGAGAAGGCCCGCCCCTGCTCACTTCCCCCCCCCTCGCTCGCCGCCGCCCTGAGCTTACCCCTAGGCTGGGCATGTCCCCCTGCAGGCAGATTGTGGAAGAAAAGCTGAAACACTATAGTCAAGCAGTGACCAAGCAGAGTCAACCAACAAGCCACCACAACAATCGTCGCCAGACTATTTTTGGACTGCGTTCTCGAATTATATACTCCTCCTGTAGAGGGACACGCCCGACTTTCAAAGCCTACCCCCCGTGACGTTGCCACTGGCCGCTACGCCTTCGGGGATCTTCTGACCCGGGTCAATACAGCCTGCAGAATCCTGCAAGCTCCTGCAAGATCCTGCATCCAAACCCAAGTCAATGCGAAGGATCCTGCAGGATCCTGCACCCAAGCCTGGGTCAGTGCGACCCTGGCCCCGCAGGATCCTGCAAGATCGGGCGCTCTGGCTGACCCCCGTTTCCCCCGTCTCAAGGCTCCACGACTGTCGAGGGACACGCCCGACTTCAAAAGCCCACCCCCCGTGACGTTGCCCCTGGCCGCTACGCCCGCGCGGGCGGCCTAAGCCGGGCGCCAGCACGGCCCGGGCCCCTCGCGAGGGGCGGCGCCATGCGGCGGAGGCCGTGCGCCCCGGCGCCACGGCCCGGGCCGGAGCGCCACCGCCCGGCCCCCTGCGGCGGAGCGAGGGGCGACGCTCGAGCCCGCACGGCTGCAGAGTTGTGGATGCCACGACAATGGACACCCGAACCGTCCGACCACTGAATCTAAAAGTGTGTGTGTGTTCAGAGGTCGGAAGAATGTTCTCAACATGTCTTAAGCATGTGTTTTTACATGTCCAACACATGTTCAACACATGTTTTAGACATCTGGCAATCATTTGGCAACATGGTTCCTCTCCATTGATCGTCGTCCACAAGGCTACAATTCAGGCCAGTCCTCAGGGAACCTTCCAGGAGAAACCCAACCCCGAGACCCCAGGGCGTCCATGGCTCTGCGGTGTCAGAGCGTGGCGCTCTCCATCGCAAGACCATGGGAGCCCAAGAAACCCAGGGCACCCTGGAGGCAAGCAGGGTGTTTCTTGGCATGGGCCCCATTATATGCGGGCCAGGGCGGCAGCGCTGCCCACGCCGCGGCCCCAGACGAGCAGCGCGACACAATGAAGCCAGCACTGGTCTTCTCGGGCCTTCCCCTCACTCTTCCGGACCTTTTGCCGTGGCCTTCCGCTCCTTTTTTGATATATGATCCACGTGGGCTTCCCTTGAAGTGCGCAAGGCTTCCATGAATTTCGATGAACTCTCCAGCACCTTCCGCGGAGGTCGGAAGGGAAGGTACTGCCCATCGCTCGGACGTCCAGTCCCTGTTCGTGTTTCGTTTTCGTGCGTACTTGTTTTCTCGATGGCCCAGGACGCTCCTTGCTGGCCCTCGCCGAGAAAAAAATACACACGTCCGAGCGATGCCAAGGGTACGGCAGGTGGAGGGGGAGGGATGCGCGCCAGGGAGCAAACGTGGGACACGCCGCGGCCCCAAAGGAGCAGCACGACACGGTGAGGCCCGCACCACAGCGCCACGCGCCGGGCAGTGCGCCCCCCTCCGCCGCCGCCGCACCTTCTCCGCCATCCTGCACGGCCCCCGTGCACCGGGGCACGGGCCAAGCCAGGACACTGGCGCGCGAGAAGACCGCAGCCACGTGGGCCGAGACGCTCTCTCTCTCTCTCTCCGGGCCGCGCTCTTCCCAGCTGGCGCTCCTCCACAAGGGCTGTGGCCTGCAGCGCCCTGGCTTCCGGAGCCACTCCCTCTTCTCCTCCTCCTCCTCCTCCTCCTCCGCCTCCTCCTCCTCCTCCTCCTCCTCCTCCTCCTCCTCCTCCTCCTCCTCCTCCCCCTCCTCGCCCCCTCCTCCTGCTCCTCCTGCTCCTCCTCCTCCTCCTCCTCCTCCTCCTCCTCCTCCTACTACTCCTCCTCCTCCTTCGCTTCGCTTCGCATCCCCTTCAAGTCCTGATGATCCACACAGCCAGGTCAGACTCGGGGCACGCCTTCTGAAGGCCAACTGTGACGCTTTAAATCGTCGGGCACCGCCGCGCGTGCCGAGACAGTGCTCGGATCAGGCACGGTCGGAGCGCCCAGCCCGCACGGTCGGACACAACAACCGACACGACCAGAGCACCCTCTCTGGGCGAGGGTACCCTAGCAGCGTAAGCAGGTGCACCCGCCCAGGTTAACAGCAACTTGGGTATAAATCACAGACAAGGGAAAACCGCACTCCCGAACTGCGCACCGCTGTGGGTCACATTTATGCGGGCGCGAATGTGCAATTTGCCGCTCGTACAGTGCAGGCCTAAAATTTGTTGCTGTAAACCCGAGTGCGGAACAGGACCCGAAACGGCCAGGGCTATTTTTCCCCGAGCCCTTCGCGAGGCCACCACGCGGGGCCCTACCTAATTTCTTGGATGCACCCCAAGCCCTCAGAATCACACCTACAAGATACTGCAACTCAGCCAACTTATACTCCCCGTTCTTGAGAGGCACTTCCAGGGGGGTCCTCTGAAGGTACTCCTCGAACTCCTCCTGGCCACCCTTCACCTTCTCCCACGCTGCGGCCTGCTCCTGGGCCAACTTCTGGGCCTGCGGCATGTTGCGAGCGATCAGCACCTGACCCTTCAGAGTGAACGAGAGGCGGACGACGTTCGAGTCGAAGGTCGGGGAGAACGAGAAGTCTTTGACCCATTCCGACGCGGCGACCTCGTCCTCGTTCTGAAGCATGGCCTGGAGGCGCGCTCCAACTCCTGAGAACTTCCTGACCTCTGGGGGGGAGCTGCTGTCGCTGAGCCAAGGATCGAAATCGGCTAGAAGTCCTGAAAATATCTGTAGCTCGGGCGGGCCGCGCTTGTGATCCTTCCCCTCCTGCTTGACCACTTCCAGATACTTCTGGTAGATCTCGGCCCCGTTGGAGGCCAGGTGGTGGGACTTCTGGAGGAACACCTGGGAGCCCTGACCGTACTCGAGACTGCGAACCCGAGACTCCAACTGGATCAGAAGCTTGTCCCTGGCCTTCTCTGGCTCTTCCTGGGTTTTTGTTTTCTTCTGTTCTGGCAGCTTCGCAATATCGGCCGAGATCATCCAAGACATCAGAAACCTCAAAGTCGATCACGTGATGCTTAAGATAAGGTTGAAGATGAGTGAGTAGGTGCTGGCGGAAGGCAACAGGGTCGTCCGAGCCAAAACTACAGAGCCTGCATTCCTGAACCTGCAGCCGAACTTCCGTCCCGCTTCGGCCCAGGTCCGCTTTGCAATACTGTTTATCTAAGGCATTCTGCATATGCTTTTGGGCCTGCGAGAAGGAACTGAACACGCTGCCGCACATCGCGCATTGGTTCGAGACACAGAATACACGGCCTAGCACTCGAGCGCCATGATCGCCTCCTTTAGCGTGCACGAAATGAGACGCCAGCTGTGCTTTGCTGGGGAACGTAGCCGTGCACTGAGTACCGTCCTCTAGAGTTGCCCAGCATCGGTATTCACCCTCCCCCGTTTGAACATGCTCCCTCCTTCTCGCCCTCCTGTACTCCTCCTGATGCGTCCAATAATAAGATATCAATCCATGAACATCGAGCTTGATAAAATCCCCCCTCCCCTCCTTCATAATCTGCACGGGCGAATGATTAAAGTTCTCGAGCAAACGCAGTCCATCATCAAAGACCTCGAGAGCTCGAATATATTGGAACCACTGCCGGCACCAGGGGTTGAGCTTGAGCTCTGAGGTCTCCTCGAAGTCCTCCTGAACCCTCTCACCCGCGCGAAACTCCCCGAATACCACGGCAAGAACCTGCGCGGAAGTCTCTGGATGACGGAGGAGATCTTGGAGCCATTTTAGTCGCCGTACTCTGAGCTCCAAAAAAAATGGCGGAATCTTGAACTTAGCGAGCACCTCTAAGTTCGACAAACTTCTGGTATTGCCTTCGGCGTCGGTCTTTGCAACACCACAGAGCACTACACGCGCTTGTCGAGCACAAAATCGTTCAAGGCTGACTACATCACTTTCTCTTAGAGGTCCGTGATTATGGGTCAAAACTTCGGTCCCAGATAAAACAGCATTTAGAACATGTCCCTTGTAGAGGTTTTTTTCGCCATTTGAGGGGGGTCTTAGAAGTCCAGAAGTCCCCCATTTTCTTCCAGGCAGACTTCCCAGCGACGATCCTGAACTGAATCTCGGGACCCACAGCAAACCGAGCTGACGCACGGACGCCGAGATATCTGGCAACCACTAGTGGACGGCCCTCCAGACCAGCACGACTCAGCAGCAGTTGCTCGTTGCGATACCCTCCCTTCCCACAACAAATAAGTAGTGCTTCTTGCTTGCTAACGTTTTGCTGAAGCCCCATCTCTCCGATAGCCCCGTCCACGCGAGCATTCTGAGCACGGCTTTCCACCGGCACCTCAGAATAAGAGCTAAACTGGAAGGCGTCAGCCAAGTCGTCGACACAAAGGGTCATGCACACCTGCTCACGCTGCAGAGATAAGGGAGACATAGCACTCAAACTTCAAAGCAGGCTCTTCGAGATGCTTCTGGATACCATGAGCATATGCTACTACGAACAAGTACACCATAACAGGGTCCCCAGGCATACATCCTTCCCCCATGCGAAAAACTGAACCCTCTGGCATCCCGTTGAACACAAAGTGCGCATACTTCAAACGGTCCAACATACAAGGCACATCATCGGAATGCAACGCTGCCGTCGCCGTTCTCAACAACGTGGGAAGCGACATCGAGTAGAACGCGTTGGCCGCGTCGTGAAATCTTCTCCAATGCTGTATTCCAAGACTGCGCATTCGCCAAGCTGAGCACAACTGCACAACTATTGCTGACTCGCGGCGGCGATGTTTGAGCGCACCGCACGCCCAGCTGGGAATATTTATCTTGGGCGCTCTCATCAGGACACTGCGGTAAAAAAAAACCTTGCCCAACGAGCAGACCATCATGGCGATCCTCTCCCCCTCCACCCCCTCCTTCTCGTTAGCCTTCCCGATCCTCGCCGCCTCCGCCCGAAGCCAAGCAACAGGCAGTCTGCAACAAGCACGAGCATGGCGCAGGATGAAGTAGATGAACTTTGTGAAGTTGGGGGCCATGAGCTGCTTAGTCTCAGGGGTGTAGCCGAGCCCATTGAATTGCTCCTTCATCCTAGGGTTCTGCCACCTAGGAAAAAAACGCGCACGTAGAAGCTCCGTGGGTCAGCTCCATCTAGGACTTGCCTTCCAGAGGCGGGCCTGCCAAAGCGCCTTGCACAACCGCTCATAATCCTCCTCGACCTCCTCCGTGTAAACCATCTCGGGTCTCAAAAAACCTCGAGCCCTCTCTTGATAAAGCTCCGTCTCGTTCACGATTTTTGCAGAACACCCTCCCTGTGGCCCCGGCTTGGCTACCTTAGCACTCCACTCCTCCACCGTGCCCTCCACCCTGACTCTGTACGGTCTCTTCCTTCCTCCTCTGGTGGTTTGTGCTATTAGGCGGGCCATTTTATGGACCATATAACCATCATTACGTTCAACGGCTTCTTGAAAGGCAGCACACCTATCATTCGTAATTTGCTCCCAATAAATCTTTTTACGATATCTTATCCACTTGCTACTGCGACGGATAGCAAGAGTGAGACGCAACTCCTCGGCCTCTAAATCCAAGGCGCTCTGGTCCACATTTATGCGGGCGCGAATGTGCAGAAAATCTTGGCTGCGCTGCTCAGCAAGACTAGCAAAGGCACCACGAAGTCCCCGTCTCTGAAGAAGCAGGCGCGAAACTTCTTCACTATGTCGCTTATGCTATTCTGTGTACAACGGACTCTCGGAGAACAAAGGCTGAGCACAATCATTGAGTGTGGTCATCAAGATCTCATTGGCTTTGTCCATCGCCTCTGCCGAAGGTAAGTTACGTACATAGTCCCACTGCTCACTCAGGCGCGGCTCGACGCTCTGGAGAAACTCTGCACGCTTCCAACCTCGCTGCACCATCATAGACAACGCTTCACCCCTGAATCGAATCCGATGTGGCTGATAATACTGCGATTGAGCATATTCATACGGTATCTTACATGCAAGCGGAACGTGATCCCATAACTTCGAGTGGTGATGAGATTGGAGACGCCAGGCTGAATTCTGAAAAGTACGGCACCACGAAACATGATCAGCGAACTCACGAGGTGCAGTGATGTAATCCAGAGTCTTAGGGTCACTCGCTGCTCCAAAATATGTGCCACCTGCGTTCCACTCCGTGTTAATTACTGCTAGTTGATGAGCTTGGCACAAAGAAAGCAGATTCTCCATACCCAAATGCATAGATCCATTATCATAAGTACCTGTCACGGACTCTAGATGCTCGAACTGACCGTTGGCGTCACACAAGATTAGTGGAGTCCAGCGTGCTGAAACCGATGCCATAGCAGAAACAATCCACTTAGTCATGGTCTCTATCGTCCGAACCCACTGCCTCTTGCTCTCTGCACGCCAAGGGACGGGAGGAAAATACATGAGAAAGATAGCAAGGCGTAGCCCTTCCCGTTCTAACCGAACTCCCGCCACACGACCCTGAAGTCCACGGGGAACCTGTACAAATCCTCGAATCTGCCCGGGGGAAAACACGCGGCGCTTCACCCACAACGCAAGCCCACAACTACGATTCGTGTGTTGCCCACGGCCCCAACCCCATTCAAGAGACCAATGCTGCTCATGCTGCCTATGCTCATGCTCTCGCTCTCCTGCACGCTGCTGTGTGCCAATCAAGCCGATAATGTCACCATTCCGTAATTCTGATATGATGTCCTTGCTTCGCATGACGTTCGCCGACTGCGGGTTATATTGAATGATGGTGATGCCACTGTGGGCGCCCGATGCCCCATCATCTGAAGGTGACATAACTCTATGCCATGGCTGCAAGCGACATTTCTGAAGGCCGTGCGCGCGGGGGGGGAACCCCCCCAATGTTCGGCAGGAATATGGCGGCCTTTCCTCCTCCTCCTCCTCCTCCTCCTCCTCCTCCTCCTCCTGCTCCTCCTGCTCCTCCTGCTCCTCCTCCTGCTCCTCCTCGTGGCCTCTGGGAGGGCCCCGCGGCACGCGGCGGCGCGCGGGCGCGCGCTCGGCGGCACTGGCCGCTCGCGGCTTAAGGGGCTGCGGGCACTGGGCTGCCACATTCGGGGGGCGCGCAGGCATGGACTACAGGGCCGTTTTTTGTTGTTGTAAAAAAAAACAAAAACCAAGTTGAAAACAAGTTGTCGGATTCATAGAAATCGATGATAAAATCTATGCATGAACTTATCGCTGTGTTTTATACTGAATCCCGGCATTTTAAATTCAGGATCCACACGCGGAGCATGTATTAAAAACGGCACTGTAGCGATCCATGGGTATGGCGCGCGGTCGCCAAAGCCATGGATCGGGGGAGGTGCCCTCTCCCCAACATGCGGCCAGGGCCGCCTCGCTCGGCGGCGGAAATCCGCGATTTCCCATGGAAGCGGGACCCATCGCTAATCCACGCCGCCTTGATCCATGTTTGCGATCGCCTGACACATGCCCGGAGAGATCCTGGCGCTGCTATTTTCGTCACCCCGGGCGTCCTCGCGCGGTTTCGGGCCCCGGGGCCCTCATGGATCGCTCGAGGCTCGAAAGAGGGCGAAGGAAAGATGGGGTCTGGGGCTCTGGGCGTGATCTCCCGCGAGGCCGCAGTTCTTTTCTGCAGCGTCGGGTCTCAGGGGGGAGCGCTAGAGCCCTGCGAGATGGGGTCCGAGTAGATGGGATCGGAGGATCGCGCCGCATCGCCAATGCATCGGCGATGTCTTGGCGATGCATCGCCGACGTGGGCGATGCATCGGCGACGTCGGCGTGAAGCAAAACGGGCTCCGCATCGAGACGCGTCGGAGATGCGTCAGCGATGCGGCACGATCCTCCAAGGAGGAGCAGGAGGAGCAGGAGGAAGAGGTGGAGAAAGAGGGGGAGGAGGAGGAGGAGGAGGAGAGGAGTAGGAGGGAGGAGAGGAGGAAGAGGAGAAGGAGGAGGAGGAGGAGGAGGAGAAAGAGGGGGAGGAGGGGGCGAGGAGGGGGAGGAGGAGGGGAGGAGGAGGAGGAGGGAGGAGGGAGGAGGAGGAGGAGGAGGAGGAGGAGGAGGAGGAGGAGGAGGAGGAGAGGAGGAGGAGAGAGGAGGAGGAGGAGGAGGAGGAGGAGGAGGAGGAGGAGGAGGAGGAGAGGAGGGAGGAGGAGGAGGAGGAGGAGGAGGAGGAGGAGAGAGAGGAGGATTCCCAAGACACATGGCCGGTTCCAGAAACCCTGAACCCAACATGTTGCCATCTCTTGGGGCCGTATGTTGTACTTCCACCAGCTTCCGCCGTCCTTTCGCTGGCTTCCGCTGTCGGAAGCGGCCTCGTTTTACTTCCGCTGACTTCCGCCACCCTTCCGCCGCCTTCCGCCGAGGAAGAGATGCCAACTCCTTCGATCCTCGAAGGCAAGGCCCTTTTAGGAGCGCCCCACATAGCCCGAGCCGTCCCGGGAAATTCTCCAGCCCCTCCCGATGCATTTCCCCAGGCGCTCCTAGGACATGTTTCGGGAGATGCCGAGAAACTGGCCAGGCCTCAGGTGTTTGGACTGGGTCCCCGGGGGCGGCTCTGGGAGCCCTTTCTCCAAGGGGGGCATCGGGGATGGATCCGTGGAGTGGATCTTGGGGCTGGTAGGCGCTTTCTTTCCGGGTTTTGACATTTGGCTGAAGGGTGGGGCAGGGCTGGTGCTTGATCGATCTGCTTTTGCCAGCCGCGCAAGCAGACTGGGGGCAGGGGCCCTCATCAGCCAACAAAAGCAGACATTCAAGTAGCCAAGATCTGGTTTAGGGGATGGGGGGGGCGGCAGCCTGGTTCCACAGTGTGGTGGTGGGTGCTTCTCCAGAGCGACTCTGGGGGGTGGTTCTTCGGGGGTTCCTGCGTGCCGCTGCTTTTTAGAAGCCTCGGGAAGCTCATGATTCTCGAACAGATGGCCTCGAAACTCAGCGACTACTAGACCTGGTAATGCGCCTTCGACTCGGACCCGCGCCCTTGATACCGTCGCGGCTCTCGTGGGCAGGTAGAGGAGGAGGACAAATATAAAGTTACGTGGCACCCCGCAATCCCGGATAGCAGCCAAGGGGCGACAGGGACGTCTGCAGTTTGCAAGGCTCTGAAGAAGCCCGCCGCAGGCGCCTCATTCTTACAAATCATACAACGAGTCCGCCGCAGGCGCCGATTTTTCGTTAAAACAATGTGGGTGGGTCGCGGGGTGGGTCGCGGGTGGGTCGCGGGTGGGTCGCGTGTGGGTCGCGGGCGGGTCGCGGGAGGGTCGCGGGTAGGTCGCGGGGTGTGTTGCGGGCCGGGTCGCGGGTGGGTCTCGGGGTGGGTCGCGGGTGGGTCTGGGGCGGGTCGCGGCCCGGTCGCGGGGTGTGTCGCGGGTGTGTCGCGGGCCCGGTCATGGGGGGGGGGGGGGGGGCGACGCCAAACAACAACAAACAAACAAACAACAACACCAAACCAACAACAACACGAACTCGCTTCGCGGAATCCCACTTCAGCCATGCACCCACGGACAGTGAATGACCGTTCGGCCCCCTCACTCTGATATTCTCTTCTACCTTCAAAGTTCCGTTGGTCCCTGTCCTTCTTGTCGTCGGACCAGCCCGTGTCCCAGCGCGACAATCCAGCATCGCAATCGAAACGGGCTGTTGTGGTCGTGGTAGTTGTAGTCGTGGTTGCGCACCTAGGGGTTGCAAGGTGCAAGCTGCGACAATTCCAGAAACAGCATGCGCGGACGCGACCGCAAATATCTGATGGCCCCTGGCCCTGGGCTTCAAAACAGCTAAGCGCTTGCTCTTTATGGAGCGGGAGGTCCAAGGACAGTTGACGAGGTGGAGAGGTCTTCACTGACCGTCACCACTGCCACCGTCGCCACGAACTAATGATCGTCACCCCCACCACACCCGCAATCATCTCCTCCGAGAACCATCCGCTCGTCACGTGACAGCCCAGGGCACCCAAGGCAGGGCCCTATGGGGCGGGTTCCGATGAGTGGCCCCATGGGCGGGATCCTATCGGCGGGGCCCTGTGAAACTACGGTGCAAGCCCCACCACCCAAGGCAACCAAGGCGGGACCCTTTGGGGCAATGCCCCGTGACGAGAACCCTATGCAACTAGGACGCGACGCTCACCACCCAGGACAACCGCCAAGCTGGTAATCTATCTGGCGTGTGGGACCCTGTGTGGCGGGACTCGATGGCCCAGGCCATATTGGCGAGGCCCTCCCGCGGGCGGGACCCGTAGGCTGGGGCCCCGCGCAAATATGGCACAGCCGCGCCAACCAGCGCAACTATGGCGTGGCCATGCGGGCAGGCCCTTGTGCATCATGCACGGCGCACACCAACAACCCAAGGCAATCAAGAGAGGACCTGGAATGCTTTGGCCGAATGATTTCGGCCAGGCCACGTCACGCATACTCTTCAGACCACCAGACCACAAGTAAGAAAGAACGCGCCACGAGAGACAGCGCCAGGGGGGGGTCTCCCTAGCTACCCCTCCCACTGGACCCTGGACCTCCCCTGTTAGAAGCCCTCCCTCCCCTTCGTTTTTTCGCAGTACAGAAGCCATCCCCCCTGGTACCTCTGCTGTAAGCCACCCCCCACATCCACCCTTCCCCATGCGATCCCTGCAAGCTGCCCCCCCGCCTCGGACCTCACCAGTTCGCAGCCCCTCTCTCCCCCCTCCTCTTTCGTCCCACGAAACCTGCCCCCCCGACTCTCCCAGCCAGAAGCTCCTCCCCCCGTCCCCCGCGCCCTCTGCAAGCTACCCCCCACCCCTGCCAACTCCCTCTCTGGAAGACCCCCCTTATATTCGGGCTTCGGAAGCGATCCCCCCCACCCCCCTCTGTCACCTCTGCTGGAAGTTCCCACACCCCTCCCCCCCTTGCCCCGCTCGACCCCTGCAAGCTCCCCCCTCTTGAACCTCCCCAGCTGAAGCCCCCCCAAAAGGCGACGACGACGACGAGAACGACGAGGACACCGAGGACGACGAGAACGAGTACGACGAAGACGAGGACGACGAAGACGGCGAGGACGACGACGACGACGAGGACGACGAGGACGACGAGGACGACGAGGACGGCGACGGCGACGGTGACGGCAGCGGTGTGCTGACAGGGCGCTCGCAGCAACAGCACCAGCAGCATCACCATCAGCAGCGCCACCAGCACCAGCAGCAACGGCAGCATAAACAACAACAGCAGCAGCCCCGGCAGCAGCGGCAGCACCAGCAGCAGCACCAACACCAGCACCAGCACCACCAGCACCACGAGCAGCAGCACCATCAGCAGCAGCATCAGCACCAGTAGCAGCAGCACCAGCAGCACGCGTACCAGCAGCAGCAGCAACAACAGTATCAGCAGCAGCAGCAGCAGCATCGGCATCACCAGCAGCAGCAGCGCCATCACCAAAACCAATGGCAACAGCAACCAGCATCAGCGGCAGCAGCCGCAGCACCCCACCAACATCAACACCAGCAGCACCACCAGCAGCAGCACCAGCGGGACGGGCAGCATGACTTTCCACTGAATGCCAGGTGGAAGAGACTGGAGAACGACACAACAACTACTCCACTCCACGACTCGCCGCATGGCAAACGCCTGCGGGGCGGCACACATACGCACTCAGTCGGTTCACCACGCGGCAACGCCGGGGGAGCGAAACAGGTACTGCTCCAGTCTCCCGGCCACGTGGCAGCGCCTGGATGGGGGGACCACACACTACTCCACTGTGCTCGCCACGTGGCAGCGCCAGCGGGGCGACACAGCACTGCTCCACTCTAGTCGGCACGTGGCAACGGAGCGCGGGGCTGGAACACATGCTGCTTCATTCTCCTCGCCACACGGCAGCGCCGCGTGGCAAGGCCTGGGAGGCAGCACGCAGGTACTGCCCCACTCCACTCCCCACGCGTTGACCACATGGGGGGCGAACGAAACATACAGCTCTCTGCTCTACTCATCCCGTGGCAACGCCGCGCGGGCTGTACGTATACAGCTTCACTCTCCTCGCCAGGTGGCAACGCCCGGGGGGGGCGAAGAAGCATACTCCACTCCCTTCGCCGCGTGGCAGCGCCGCCCTCCGCCCCCCCCCGAGTCTCTCAGGAGGCCCCCAAGGAGGCCTCCAAGACGCCCCCAGAAGCCCCTAAGAGGCCCCCAGGTGGCCCCCCTAAGAGGCTCCCAAGAGGCCCCCAAGAGGCACCCAGATTCCTCCCCAGAGTCCCCCGAGAGCCGTCCGAAGAGACCACACACAAGCATCCCTGACGACTTTGGCCCACGTCAGTGTCGTCGTCGCCGCCGCCGTTGTCGTCGTTGTCGTCGGTGTCTACCTTCAGGGTCGGCGGCACTGACAGTAAGGCCTTCGCGATATTCCCTTATATTCGCCACGTGGCAACGCCGCGGGGTGGGAATAAGAGCAGCGACACTTCACTCGCAGCGTGGCAACGACAGGCCAGCGATCAAAGCACAATACAACTTTGCGCGCCACGTGGCAAAGCGCACACCGACACAACAACTACTCTACTGCATTCGACGTGGCAGCGCCGCGGAGGCGAACACCGACATCTACCCGGCACGTGACTCCGACGCGGAGAAAGACGGCGAGGACGACGACGACGGACGACGGACGACGGACGATGATGACGAAGACGGACGAGGACAACGCCGACAACGCCTACGATGATGACGACGACGACGACGGACGACGGACGATGACGACGACGGACGAGGATGACAACGACGACTACGACAATGACGACACCGTCGACGACGACGACAATGACGACGACGACATCCACGACGACGCCCGCCCTACCGCCCGCCCACCCGTCCGCCCGTCCACGCGCCCGCCCGCCCGCCCGCCCGAGCATGCGCCCGCTCGCGCGCCCGCCCGCCCGCCGAAGAGCGCGTCCGCCCGCGCGCCCGCTAGCGCGCACCCGCCCGCCTTCTTGCCCGCCCGCCCGCACGGCCGCCCGCCAACGCGCGCGCCCGCTCGCGTGCCCGCCCGCCCGGTCGCCTGCCCGCTCCCCCTCCGCCACCCTCCCTCACTCGCTCCCCCGAGGCGGCCACCAAACCGCGCCCTGGCGATCAGGCGCGCGGCAGGAACACTTCTTCCCCATCACCCTCCCCCTCGCCCACTGAGCCGACGATTTCCTCCTTCCTTCCCTTCCACATCCCCCCCCGTTCCGTCACTGTGCCAGCGATTTCCTCAACCCCTGGAGTTCTGAGAACCGACATCATCCTCCTCTTCCTCCTGCTCCTCGTCCTCCTGACCCCTCCCCCTTTAGAATGGACACCCTGAAACCCAGCATCAATTATTTTCCTTTTGGCGCACTGCGTTGCATTGCATTGCGATGCGATCCTCTTTTCCCCCCCTCCTCGTTCGTCCTCCACCTCTCCTCCTCGCTCCTCTCTGTCCACCTCGCCCTCCTTCAGATCCTCCCATCTCCCCTTCCTCCCTCCTCCTCCTCCTCCTCCTCCTCCTCCTCCTCCTCCTCCTCCTCCTCCTCCTCCCCCTCCTCGTCCTCCTCCTCCTCCGCATCCTCGCTTATCTTCCCACGCTCCTACCCTCCTCATCCCTCCTGCCTCCTCCCCTTCCCTCCTGCCTCCCACTGCTTCTCCTCCCTCCTGCCTCCTCCCTCCCTCCTCCCTCCTCCCTCCTCCACCTCCTCCTGCTCCTTCCTCCCTCCTCCTCCCTCCTACACCTCCCTCCCTCCTCCTCCCCCCCCCCTCCCTCCTCGCTCCCCCCTTCCCCTCAACCCACTCTTCCGACACCACCCACCAAACCCCAAAACCACCCTCAACATTCGCACTTGCTTACACTTCCAGGCTTTGTCCCTGCAAAATTTCCCGGTTTGGATGTCGTTCTCCTTGGTTTGGTTTGCACAATTCCGGGTTTGGTGCGTTTCCGCGTTTGTCCGGAAAATTTCTGAGGTTGTCCTGGAATTGTTCGGGGTTTGTCCTCTGCACTTCAACGGATTTGGTAACTTCTGCGTTTGCCCCGCCAATTTTCGAATGTGCCTTTTTACCTCTGCCCGTCACATGGAGACGCTGGGAGGGCAAACTAACAGTGTGACGTCCAGTGGACCACGTAGTATCACACACAAGAAAAGAAGACGTACCAGACTACGCCTCGAGCCGCGTGGCAGCGCGGAGGGCAGACACGGATAGTATGCAGTGTACTGTTCTTGGAAGGAGACGCAGCTCGGCGACGACAAGGACAAACAAAAACGGAGCGGAAGGACAAAAAGCGAAAGCGATTTAAATTCAGCACTTTGCGCTGACTAGGTCGGCACGCGACGACGACACCACCGACAACGAGGACGACGACGGCGAAGGCGGCGACGACGAAGGCAACCTCCGACAACGACGAGTAGACGAACGACGAAGACGACAATGACTACGAGTACACCCGAACGGACGACGGCGACGACGACGACAACTAAGCCTACGAATGCGACGACCACGGCAACGACGAAAACGAGGACGAGGACGAGGACGACAAAAACGACAACGACGACGATGACGACGACAAAGAGAACGACGACAACAACAACGATCATGCTAAGACTTTTCGCTATTGTCTGCCCGCGTGCCATTTACCACGTGTATCCCAAAACCTCGGTACCAGCCCTCTTCGCCTTCGATCGTACCCCCTCTTGGGGGTATCTCTTCCCTTCCTGCCGCGCGCAGTTGGCTCAGCCCCTGGAACCGAGGAAGGAGGGGAGGAGCGAAGAGACAAGGGCGAGGGAGAATGATGGAACACGAGGGGATTTTACAGGAGGAGGGTTAGGATTAGGTCTGGCATATCCTCCTACAGGGCGATTTTCGACGAAAAAATAAACATACTCAAACAACGCTCATTTGAGCTAAAACACGAAAAATCGTCCACAGACTATTTTGACTATTTTTGAATATTCCTCCTGTAGAGGGACGGGCCCGACTCAAAGTTAGGAACAGCAACACGAGCGGCAGAACCAACCTGGCGTGTCGGGCGGGCGGACCATAACGGGTAGGTCGGGCGGGCGGGCCCAGACGGCCAGGGCGAGCGGGCGGAACGTCAACCCATCATGAGGGAAGTCTCAAGCGATCATGCGATTCCCAAGTAAATCGTCAGGGCATCCAAAGACGATAGCGTGATTTGTAAGCCTTAAGGGCGCGGCGACGCAATGCATTGTGAGGGGATACCACGCGAGAGCGCGATTCCTGGATAAATTATGAGGAGGTCCCGCGCGAGAGCGCGAATTTGAAAAACATGAGAGGAATTATCAAGCGGGAGCTGCTGTTGTTGTAAACCGGGCCCAGGGGCACAGTTTGGTGACCACAGATTTTCACGGATAGAACCGCAGGGTGCGAGCCCTGCGAGGAATCCTTTGGTTCAGCAACTCAGTGCTTGGGGGATCAACAATGGTTACCCCTCAGAACGGAGAATTTACACAACACCAGCAACACCACCACCGCCAACAACAACATCGACAACAACAGCACCGCCTCGCAGATCCACAAAACACTAGAACGCAGAGAGGGGGTTGGGGGGCGGAAAGATACGGATACGTGTTGTCCCCGGACCTCTCTTGGGGTGCGTTCTGACCAGAATTTCGAGGCGAATCCAGCGGTGACAACGAGGATTCCCCAGGAGGACCAGGAAAAGCCGAAAACGAAGGGGGACAACACGTATCCGTATCTTTTTCTCCCCCGAGGGGGGCGAGCTCCGGAAGCCCCCCCACCACGCACCTGCGAGCCCGGGCTTACCGTCTGCCCCGAGAGGGAGGGGCGAGGGGAGGGGCAGCGTGGAAGAACGGGCTCGGCAGAGCGGAAATGCGTGACGATCGTGGCTTCCTCGTGTGCGTGGCGGCATCCGGGTCCTAATGCGGGATGACGATTAATAAGACAAATTGGAGAAACGATTAACAAAATAATTTTCGGCCATGTCTGCACAATTTCCGGACTGGAGGAGAACGATTAAAAAAATAGTTTTCCAGCCCGCGGCCGGTTTTTTCTAATCGTCATCCCGGGCGCCGCCGCGTGAACACGACCCCCGGTCATTTATTAATCGTCATCCTCCATTAAGACTTCACAGTGGACTATGCAAGGCATTGTCAAACAAACTGTTGCCGGGCCAATTCTCGCCTTGTCCGTTTCAGCTCCCGCTCCAAGGGCCTCGCTTTCCACATGTGGGCACGTTCCGGAAACACTCTGCCAGAACGTCGGCCCCGACAGCGTTTGGGCATATTCAGGAAACGATCTGCCGGAATAGAAGTGTTGGCAGGTCCCCACAGGCATGTGTTTCCAGCGTGTTGCCTAGCATCTTGGCATAAGTCTGTGCCGTGCGGTGCATGAGGCATAGCACGCAAAGCATGGCAGAATATGTCTATCAAATTCGGAGCTTAGTGAGCGCGGGGAGAGTGGCAACACCAACCCTGCGCGCATCTGAATTATGTTAGTATGCTGGCAACGCTCCGGCTCAAGATGAAGCGGCCAGAGGAAGCACATCGTCTGCCCGTCCCAGTGAGGAAAAGGAATCAATCTCAGCGGCGGCGCCAGCTGTTCCTCCAATCTTATTACCTGTAACACCCTCCTTAGGCTTAAACTCAGGATCCGGGTAGACAGCAGCCTCCACCATTATCTATCCATATCTCCTGTCACCACTCATCGACTCTTGCGTCTGATAGCTAAGGGAATCCCTATTGACCACGCTGTCCAGGAACCAGAATGTCAAGAACCACGCAGGGATACGATAGGGGATTTATCCATCCAAAGGGTAGCTTCGGCTCCCTCCCCCGTGCCCCGGCAACTCCCAGCTTCGCAGAGGGGGGGAACAGTTTCGGACCTCCCCCGCTGGAAAGCTGGGCCTGGGCTCACCTCGGACCCCCCAAAGGGGTGGGAGCTTCCGAAGCCCTCCCCTGCAGCAGGGTGGGGGAGTAGCTTCCCAAGCCCCCCGCTCCTTTGCGAAGGGCAGCCCGAGCGTAACCTGGCACCAAAGGGATGGGGGGTCTTCCGAAGCCCTCCTCTCCTCCCACTCAGTTTCCCAGGTTGCGAAGGGGGAGGGAGGGGGGTGGGGGGGTAGCTTCGGAAGCCGCCCCCCCCCCCCCCTGGTGAAAGGAGGGCGGGGTTAGCTTGAAGCTGGGCCCAACCTTCTTGTTCTTCGCGTCTCCCGCACCGCGCTCTTCCAAGAGTACGGAACCGCCAACGCATGCTCGGCCCTGGGTATGTTGACACACGTCACGGAAACACCCAATAGCAAACTGTCATCAGAAACTTGTGCGGCAACCCACTTTTATGCGGCTGCCGCTCGTTCAATTTCATCGATGCCCCATTGCCACTTCTGTGATGAACACGGCCTGCTGGGTTCTTGAAACAAAAACCAACTGTCAGTCGGCAGACGCCCACTCCTGTAATTCACCAGCGAAGGTATATGGCTTTCCCGAGCGAAGACGGCACCAGCCAACCACCATTCCTTGGGCCGTGTTCGACGGGGAGCTCTCTGGCAACGCCCGAAATCTACCGTCCCTGATTCTGGCCCCCGACGCGGGGAGGCTGGCCGTGATTAGACATCCCCCCGGACCCGCTGGGAGGCTGGTGTTCGCAGCACCACTCCTGTTGGAAGCTCGGAGATGTGCACCAACACCAACACAGGAGGTCGTCTCACCCGGGCGAAGATGGTCCCAGAAATCAGCGATGGTGGTAATGTTGCGGCCAGCCAGGGGGCCCGAAAATTACCGTAGGAACGCGACCACAAGAAACCTTCCACAAGAAACCACACCCTGAGACCCCAGGACGTCCATTGACTTTTGCTTGTGAACGTCCCGCTTTCCATAGCAAAATTATCGACACCCAAGAAACCCAGGGTACCCTGCAGGTAAGCAGGGCGCCTCTTGACATGGGTCTCCGCTGTACCAGAATCACCGAGATCGGGATCACCTCCCCTCGGTGGAGGCAACGGCCGATTCTGGCGGTGGTGGCGACCTCTCGGGCTCCAATCCTTCTTGTCGTCGGACCATCCTGTCTCCCACTTGGACAGGCCGGCGTCGCAGTCGAACGCCTCGAGGTCGCCTGGGCTACACCCTTTTGGCGACTCGTGCTTGCAGCACCACCTCTTCTTCGCTCCAGACCAGCCCGTCTCCCACTTGGCCAAGCCCGCGTCGCAATCAAACGGCGTGGTGGTGGTCTCAGTCGTCGTGTTTGCGCATCCCTTGGGCGGCTCGTTCGCACAGCACCATTCCTTCTTGGCCTCGGACCACCCCGATTCCCACTTGGGCAGCCCAGCGTCGCAATCGTAGGGTGTGGTCGTAGTTGTGGACGTTGTGACTGTGCAACCTTTCGGCGGCTCGTGCTCGCAACACCACTCCTTCTTGTCTTCCGACCAGCCTGTCACCCACTTGGCCAGGCCGGCGTCGCAATCGAACGCGGGCTCGTCGCATCCCTTCGGCGGCTCTTGCTCGCAACACCACTGCTTCTTGTCGTCGGACCACCCGGTTTTCCACCGCGACAGGCCCGCGTCGCAGTCGAAGGGGGTGGTCGACGACGTCGTGGTCGTTGTGGTTGTCCTGCTCGGGCAGCCCCTGCCGCCGTGTTCACAGCACCACTCCTGCCCGGCTGCGAGCCCAGGGGGAAGTCAGAGGGAGCGGGCCTTCTCGGAAGGCTCAGAAAGCCTCTTCTGTGGAGCTTCCCATGCCCTCTCCGAGGCAACAAAGGGGGCTCTTCGGACGGAAGGCGTTTCTGAGGAGTCCCGCCGCCTTCTGGGAAGGCCGGACCCCTGTGACCTTCCCTCCTGGGCTCGCCGCTGGGTCCTGCTTCTGCGCAGACCACCCGGACTCCCACCGGTCCAGGCCGGCCTCGCAGTCGAAGGGCAAGCAGCCTCTGGGCGGCGCGTGCTCGCAGCACCACTCCTGCGGCGGCTCGGAAGCCCCAGGGATCGGCCCGATGGGGGTCCGGGGCCCACTGAGCGACGGCAAGAGACGGGTCTCACGCGAGAAGGCATCGCGACTCCACGCTGCGGCTCACGCGGGCCGCCACCGTGGCGCACCGCGTGGAGGAGAGGGCGCTTACGGTAGGAGCTCGACCACAGGCCACCTTCCACAAGAAGCGCAGCCCCGAGACCCCAGGACGTCCATCTTGATTTCAGGTGTGGGAGAATCACGCCGTTTCCTTTGGCGCAACCATCGAAACCCAAGAGACCCGGGGCACCCTGGAAGCAAGCAGGGTGTTCAGCCTGCCGTCGCTCGGACGTCCCTTCCCCGCGCATGTTGTTCGGTTTCGCGCGTGCTTCTCATTGCAGGACGATCCAGCATGCTCCTCACGGGTCCCCGCCGGGAAAACAACTGCACACGTCCAAGAGACTCCAAGTTCTTGGCATGGCTTTCCACTGTTCGCGCGGCATCGCGCGGGAAGCTGGCGCGTGTGGATGTCCGTGCGGTCGACGCAACGCTTTCCAATCCCAAGTCCATCGAAGCCCAGGAGACCCAGGGCACCCTAGATGCCAGCAGGGCGTCTCTTGGCATGAGCTTCCACTGCGCGCGCGGCACTGCGCGGGAAGCTGGCGCGCGTGGATGTGTCTGCGGTGGACCCCGCGTTTCCTTCCGTCGCTCCACGGGGGGCCAGGGAGAGAAGCGAGCAACGGGAGGCGCCTGCTCGACTCGCCGCAGCCACATGCCGACATTGCATTTCAAGACGAAGCCAGGACGAGGATAAATCCAGGTGAGGAAAAATCGATCCTCCTCCTCCTCCTCCTGCTGCTGCTGCTGCTGCTCCTCCTCCTCCTCCTCCCTCCTCCTCCTCCTCCTCCTCCTCCTCCTCCTCCTCCTCCTCCTCCTCCTCCTCCTCCTCCGCCTCCACCGCCTCCTCCGGCTCCTCCCCTCCTCCTCCTCATCCTCATCCGCCTCCTCCTCCTCCTCTCTCCTCCTCCCTCCTCCTCCTCCTCCTCCTCCCTCCTCCTCCTCTCCTCCTCCTCCTCTCCTCCTCCTCCTCCTCCTCCTCCTCCTCCCTCCCTCCACCTCCCTCCTCCCTCCTCCTCCCTCCTCCCTCCTCCTCCTCCTCCTCCTCCTCCTCCTCCTCCTCCTCCTCTCCTCCTCCTCCTCCTCCTCCTCCTCCTCCTCCTCCTCCTCCTCCTCCCCTCCTCCTGAAGACGAAGTCAGGACGAGGATCAATTTGGGTGGGGATACATCGAACATCTCTTGGATCCGGCGGCTCTAGGGGATGTATCGGGCGTTGCGGCCTTCCTGGAGCGTTCCGGAACTCTCTGAGACCTTTCCGAACGCTCTGGCACGGATTAATCCTCGTCCTAGCCCCGTCCGACATTGGAGGGGGCCAAAACCTCGCCGTGGGCCGTCCCTGGAATTCCAAGCGGCCACTCCTTCTTCTCGTCGGACCAGCCGGTCTCCCACTTGGCCAGGCCAGCCTGGCAGTCGAAGCGGGGCGTCGTGGTCGTGGTGGATGTCTGACATCCCTTCGGAGGCTCGTTGTGGCAACACCACTCCTCTGAAGGGCAACGTTCGAAGGGGGGGCGGCGGCTGATGGGGGGAACATCGACTCAGAATCGGCGATACATGGCCGATGGATCGGCGATGGGCCCCCGATAGCACATGAGCATGTTCCTGGGCGGGGTGAGCTATCGGGGCCCTATCGACGATCAATGGGCGATTCAGGGTCGATGCATCCGCCCTTTAGCCTTGCACGGTTTCTCCCGGTGCTGTAGGCGACCCGAGGAGGAGGAGGAGGAGGAGGAGGAGGAGGAGGAGGAGGAGGAGGAGCAGGAGGAGAAAGCAGGAGGAGGTGGAGGAGGGAGGGGGGAGAGGAGAGGAGGAGGGAGGAGGAGAGGAGGAGAGGAGAGGAGGAGGAGGAGGAGGGAGGAGGAGGATGAGGAGGAGGATGGAGGAGGAGGGGGAGGAGGAGGAAGAGATGATGGATGAGATGATGGATGATGATGATGATGATGATGATGATGAGGAGGAGGAGAGGAGGAGGAGGAGGGAGGTGGAGAGGAGGAGGAGGAGGAGGAGGAGGAGGCAAAGCCCTCTTAGCCTGCAGCCGCCGTGCTACAAGACGGAACGCTGAATAAGGAATGGCATGGCTCTTCTCGCTACGGCGAGCCCAGGCCACTAGCAAGCTCCCCGACCTAGACCCAAGGAGCGGCCCGAAAGCGAGAGCCCCCTCTGAACCCACAGCGGTCCGCCTTTTCAGCGTAGCGCCTGTCTCCCCACTGACGCTGCCCCAGATCCCCCCGCGAGAGGAGGAGGAGGAGGAGGAGGAGGAGGAGGAGGAGGAGGAGGAGGAGGAGGAGGAGGAGGAGGAGGAGGGGGAGGGGGAGGGAGGAGGAGGAGGGAGGAAGAGGAAGAGGATGATGATGAGGAGTAGGAGGAGGACCAATGTAGACCCACGAGTCATCAACGATGTTGGAGTAGACTCTCCCTCCAAGCTCCCTCTTCATAGGCCCCTACAACGGTTCATTTCCATTGGTGGGACTGCCTCGTTGGAAGGATCCTGTTTGGAGACCCTGAAGCATGCCGAAACATTGTTCTCGGGATTCCAACACCACGGATCAACCTTATTGTTACATCTTGACGATCCTGAATCGTGCCAGAACGCCATTCCTAGGACTTCAACACAGAGAATCAACGTAACTGTTGCACCAACATCATCCTGATTTCTTCCAAACCACCATTTCTGGTACGTTGATGATGTGAACCCGTGAAGCTCTTGAACATGTTGTAAACGAATGTGCGCGCGGCGCTAAGGCAAGAGCCACATTTTGAACCGCCCTCAGTCTGTGCAACGACTGCAAATGTTTAAAACGTATGTGCGCGGCGCTAAGGCGAGAACCACATTTTGAAAACCACCCGCCCTCAATCTGTGAAACTCTGGCATTTTAACAAAAACACGAATGTGCGCGGCGCTAAGGCGAGAACCACATTTTCAAAACCACGCGCCCTCAACCCGTGAAACTCTTGCATTTGTTAAGTGAATGTGCACCGCGCTAAAGCGAGAGCCACATGTTGAAACCCACCCACCTTTTATCTGTGAGGCCGTTGCCAATTCTCCAGCTTTATAATCATAAATGGTGAGGAAATCTCAGGCGAAACGCCCAGCCCGCCCTAACAACTGGCCCCGGGGTGCGACAGGGAGAAGCTATGTGTAAGGAAAAGGAATGGAAGAGGCGGAGGAGGAGGATGAGGCGGAGGAGGAGGCAGAGGAGGAGAAGGAGGACGAGGAGGAGGAGGAGGAGAAGCAGGAGGAGGAGGAGGAGGAGCAGGAGGAGGAGGAGGAGGAGCGCAGGGGCAACGCGAGCTTCGGGCTTCAGCAGTGGGGGTCGGAGCGGGAGGCAGGGCGGCAGAGCACCCCCAACCGCAACGTTAGCAGCAGCAGCAGAAGCAGCAGCAGCAGCAACAACACTGCGAATGCGAGCACGAGACATCTCTCTTGCGAGGCGGGGATTTATCCATATCCACCGCCGGGGAAACGACGTCCTGGTGCCCCAGCGGGCGGTGGATATGGATATATTTTGGCCCAAGCGGGCCCGAATTATGTCCATATCCACAGCCTGCCGAGGCTCCGAAAATTGATCCTCCAGGCGGTGGTCATGTATAAATGCCCGCCTCGGATCTCTCCACCCTCTGCCCGCGTCCGTTCCCCCTGGCCTTTCCCAGTCGGCTGCCGCTGGACTTCGACCCCGGCGGGACAGAGGTGGGGGACACCGTCGTCGCGCTGCCATCTCTTCTGGCCACAGCATGCATGCCTTTGGCCATACATGTGGGCTCCCCGACCTGAATCGGCAGGGCGGCCCGAAAACCATGGCCCCTCCTGGGCCCAAAGTGGCACTTCTTGCTCAGCGTCTTGGCTGCATTTCCTTTCCTGCCGCGACGTGTCGGGGCACAGCCGCAAAGGCCGCGGGCGGAATCATGTGCGAGACGAGGGGGGCGGGGGGGGGGCGACAGCCAAGATAACGTGCGAGCTCGGGGGGGGGGGAGACAGCTAGGAGCATGGGGAGACAGCCAACGACCCCCTCCCCGAGGCGCTCCCGAGAAAGAGCCACACGGCGAACGAGGAAGGACACCGGAGGAGGAGGAGGAGAAATGATCGAATCAAGCTCTTGGAGCATCATGCTCGTCTGACCCCATGCGACGTCTGGGCATCACCTGGCAGCCTTTCAACCGCTCGGACGTCCATTCTCTGTGCGTGTTTCGGTTTCGTGTGTGCGTGCGTTTTCGCAAGATGAGCCAACATGCTCCTCGATGGTCCTCGCCGCCAAAAAATGCACGCGCCCGAGCGATGTCAAGCAGCTTGCCAGTGTACAACTTCTACAACGACCTTACAGGAAGCCCTGTTAGGGCTGCCTCCTCCTCCTGTTCCTCGTGCTCTTCCTGAACACCTGGCGAAGCACCTCGCGCTGCCCAGGTCTTTGTCCACAACATCCCTCAGGCCCTCTCACCGATGACGAACCAGCCCAGCCAAAACCGGACTGCTCCGCGGCTCCGTGGCCACCAAGCCGAAGCGGCCACACCGGCCCAAACGATCAGACCGAAACCTTTCCAACCGGCCCGCCGCCGAAGCTAAATCGGCGCAACCGAACCGGCTCGCGGCTAGACCCGCCCGAGTCGGCCCGAACCGGGGCCACCCGGCGAGGAAGAGGGGGGGAGGGCCTGAGAGCCTCTTCGCAGGTGCTGTTGGAGCTCTTCTGTGGAGCGGGGAGCAGCAGCATTCTTCTGCGGAGCGCAGCGAGGCAGGCGGTGACATGGGGGAAATGGGTCCAGATCCTCCACCTCCTCTTCATTACCAGCATCGTCATCATCAGCATCATCATCGTTATCATCATCATCATCGCCATCATCATACCCATCGTCGTCATCGTCATCGTCATAGTCATCATCAGCATCATCGTTGCCATCCCGAACATAATCACCATCACCACCATCATCATCACCACCAACATCACCATCATCCGTATAATCATTGGCGCACGCATCATCACCATCATCGTCATCATCATCGTCATCATCATCATCCCAATATCATCAACACCATCGCCATCACCGTTATGACCATGATGATGATCACCATCATCATCACCATCATCATCCTGATTCTCATCCTCATCCTCATCATCATCCGCATCATCACCTTCATCGCTGGGAACGTGTCCTGGGTCCGTGGAACTTCCCATGGTCGCGGAGACGCGAAATTCGGGTTTGGGGGGCTCGGGTTGGCCTGACGGGGCCGCCAATAGAGACTGACGAGGTCCAGCTCAAAACCCGACGCGAACTCCCGTTGTAAGCATTCGACGACAAGCTGGACAGTCAAGATCCGGGACGGGCTCGCCGAAAAACGTCGGTCCACCCGATTTCGGGCGAACTCGAGTCTTAAGTCGGGCCCGTCCCTTTATAGGAGGAATATGCATAAACTGTCAAACAATAGTTTGGGGCCTATTTTAAACTATTCATTGACCATGCAGCGATACTTTTTGCATACTTGTTACCTTTCGTCGAAAATCCCCCTGTAGGCGGACAGGCCCGACTTAGCTCGCGTCTTACGTTCCGCCCACATGGCCCCCTGAACATCTTTTTGTTTGACGGCCCCGGGGGGAGGCAGCGCCCGAGGAGCCCGACAGCTGCGGCACGTGTTCGAGGGCCCTCTCCTCCAGGGCGCCTCCTCCTTCATGGCGAGGCGGGGGACAAGAGGGAGGACGAGGAGGAACAGCAACAGCACAAGGGAAGGGAGGAGGAGGACGAGGAGGAGGTTCCAGAAGTTCCTTCCAGCCGCGATGGCTGACTCCGTCTCTCCGCGGCCGCGGCCGCCCCGTGCGGGCCGCGGCCGCCCCGCGGCCGCCCCGCGCGGGCCGCGCACGGGCCGCGGCTCGAGTGGGCCGCGCCCCTGGGGGCCGCCCACCTCTCCACGCGCGTCTCGCGGAGGCGCGTGGGGCCTTGGGGCCGATCGTGCCCTCTGTGTTGGGCACGGTTCACCCCCGAGATCCTCAGCGCCCCGTGCAGCGCCCCCAGCACGCAAGTCCTGGGCACCTTGCGCGGCATGCCTTCCAGGGAAGGTGGCAGTAGCAGAATTGACCCATCCAGTCCAACTGCGCGTTGTGCTGGTCGCAGTGGTGCTGCCGTCGACGTGCTGGTCGTGGTGGCGCTGTTGCCGAGGGTGCTGCGCGTCGTGCTGATCGATGGCGTGCTGCTGCTCCCCGTTGCGTGGCTGGCTAGTGGCCGCTCCGAGGAGTCGTAGCACCCATCTCCTCCTTCTCTCCTCGTCGCTCCCCACTGCTGGCGTTGGGGCTGGCTGTGGCGTTGGAGTCTCGTCGCAGCTCGCGTCGGCACTGCACCCCGCAGCGGCTTCGTCTTGTTGGGTTGGAGCCGTCATCCCTGCGCGGGCCGCGCGTGGGCCGCGGCTCGGCTCTTGTGGGCCGCGCCGTTGGGGGCCGCCCACCTCTCCACGCGGGTCTTGCGGAGGCGCGCGGAGCCTCGATGCTGAGCGCGCCCTCCGCGA